TTTAAGTTTAATTATTTGAGAATGAGAATCACATAGTGGCTTGAATGCCGATGTTGATAATGATAATGATATTGGACGACTAAATAATAACATTCTGGAGTTTGTTATAACTTCATATACAAGTAGAATAAATTCTTTAGGTATGGGAGTTAATTCTCTCATTTTTCAAATTTATGGATCTTTATGTGCATGTTACTGTGGTTGAGTGAATAAGTTGTATTAGTTAAAAATGAAGTTTATCATGAAGTCTATAGATCCATAGTTAAAAAGGTATTGTTTATCATCTTATATTTTTTTTAGCTATATGATCTATATTTAAATGTATGATTACATTTTATATTTTAGGACGGTTTCGGTCACATGGTCAATGGTCAATAATTCGTAAACCAAATATAAGTTTGTTATTATTATTATTTTTAAATAGTGACCATTTGTAAGTCCATCACAAAAACATGTACCGTTTATGTTAGTTTTTTACACAAGGGCCATGTATGCCTTTTTTTTCAAACATGAAATGTTGATGTAGTTATTTATGTGTTATTGGAAGCGTAATTATTTTATTATTTGAAATTTGAAATAAAACAATTGCAAGTCTTTATACAATAAAAAACTTATCCAAATTAGAGTAATATACTTTCAAGTACATTGTTATAATTAGGAAACCTTGAGTGGCATGGTGACTTGACGAACATGTTGTGCTTAATGGCATTAAGTTTAAGCTTTTTTTGCATCAATATTTCTCTCTACATTTCAAAATGTTTAAATCCTTTACCATAACTCCCACGATTTTCAGATTTCAACAAAATTTTCATCATCCATGTTTGCATGTAAAATAAACAAAAGTCGTCGAGATTATACCAAGCTATTTTCAATATTTGAGATAGCTTGTACATTAGGTTTTTTAGTCATAATAAGGACAAGAAGAAAGATAAAGAAATATAAAACAAGGACATGAAGAAACATAAAGAAAAAATAGTCAATGGCAAAATAGGAAACAAATAATCAAAACAATAAGCACAAGAAACAAAAAAATGAGACCGATTATCAGTGGTGAATGGATAGCAACGAGACATCAAGGTGTATGTCACTTAAATCTTGATTTTCTTTTTTTAAGTTGCCGATTAAGATTTTCAAGTTCTCTTCATTATAAAAAAAAGTAAAAAATAAAGAAAATACTTGCTTTGTGTTATTTTTCAAATTAAATATATACAACTTGTCTTGTGCGTCACAACTTCCATGTATTTAATAAGAATAAAGCTCCAAAAGTGATACTATGTTGCATTATACAAACTCATGACTTTTATAAAATAGGTGGATTTACATGTGTAATTAAATATTTACAAATTACAAAGTTATTAAAAAAATACAATATTACAATTTATAAGTTTTTCTAAATTAATGATATATTATTTTATTACATAATCAATTTTTTTAATTTTATTTAAAATTAACACTCGTGGGTTCCACGGGTTTTAACCTAGTTCATGATATATAAAAGTTTTTATGGCAATTCCCCTAGTTTGTATGCAAGTTGCCATTTTTCACTCTTAAGTGTATGGATATACCTAAACATATTTGAAAATAGATTAATTTGTTATAGTGTTTGTCCAATACGTATAATATGATTTTGTATATCCCTTGTCATGGCCATGTTCTCTTCGTTTAGACATTGATGTGAATCAAACAAAATGCGGTTCTACTTTACTATCTCGGTCGCTCTTTTGGTACTTTTTGTATATAGAAAGACACGAACAAGACTTTGTTCTTTAATTGAACTTTTTTTTCTCTCTCTTTAAACCATAATTTGTTGGTATCTGGTTTACGCATTTTCTCTTTATTATAGTTTCACATTCCCAATTCGACTTTAGTTACAGATAATGGATTAGTTAGGAATTGTTTATTATAACAACACAACACCCATGTTCTTCTACATTCAAACAACACTTTCCAAGTCGTTGGTCTTGTCTTATTTAATTGAATTCCATACACCAAACACCATCCCACTAATAATATTCAGACACAACTTGCTCCAATGTTTTTAACAATATGAACCACTTGATATATGGCGATTAAATTTTGAAAATCCTTTTAAAAAGGCTATACCTATGTGTTTAAAACCAAGTCAATAGAAGATAAATATTATTTAGCAATTCATACAACAAATAGCTAAATAAATCTTGTAATTTAACAAGAGATTGTAACTCAAGAACAATGAATTAAACATGTATAATAAGAAACATATTCTATTTAAACAACTATTAACACATTATTGCTATAATCCAAAATTGAACCATCATTTTCTCCTTGTCACTTTGAATAGATTTACATGAAATCTATACCTTGCAAGCTTCGGTTTATTTATTCCGTTGTGATTGTATTTGAATTTTGAAGTATTCATTTAAATAATTTAATTTTATATCAAATTTATATGTTTACTTGTGGAACATTGAGATTTGAGCATTGACCATCATGAAAACCTATCTCATTGGTTTGTAAAGACCGTGTTGCTAATGGAATCTTCATCGCTAACCAATGTCGTCATGCTAATTTGCCTTACTTAATAGACACAAAATGGAAAAATTATATAAAATTCGTTATATATTATCTATTTTGTATGTTTTTTTTTCAATAAAAGTCATCCTTATTAACGAAAGAAACAAAAATTCCACTGCAACCATTCTGACCGGTAAATCGTTGATGTTTGCTTATTTTTAGGGATAAGCGTAGACGCACGGGCGGATTTAGGGGGTCACCGGTGGCAACGGCAACCCTTAATTTTTCCGGCCGTGGTGGAAAAATTTTCGAAAATTTTTAAAAATTTTATTTTTTTCTACTATCGTGCAACCCCTAACTTTTCCGTGCACCCCCTACTGAAAAATCTTGCGCCCGCCCCTGCGTAAACGGATACCCCCTTAATTATCTAGGATTGGAACCGGAACTGGCGGTTCCTAAAATGTTTGAATCGGAACCGAAACCGACGGGTATCGGTTCCAATACCGGGTGCCCAGTAGAGCTGGCAAAAAATCGGCCAAACCCGCTAACTCAACCCAAAATTAGCAAGTTGGGTTGAGATTTTCAACCCATTTAAGTTAAATGGGTCAACCAACTTAACCCATTTAATTTAATAGGTTGGGTTGGATAAAAATTATCAATTTGTTTTCAATCTGCCAACCCGTTTAACTTTAATATATATTTAATTTAATAATTATTTGAATATTATCATGTATTAATCAAAATATTAATTTATAAATATTAATGTTGTACTATTATTTATGTTTAAAAAATACAATCCTAATTGTCATTCTTTTTCTTAACTATTCTCCAAAATCACTTCGAAATTAAATTTTTTTAATGTTTTTGAACAGTTTATATGCATTTGTGAAATAGGATCGTGATTTGACATACTTTGAAATTTTATTTACATTTGGAACTAATTTGACCGATATAATCTTTGACATACTTTAACAAACTTATGTAGTAGGTTAGGTCGGATTCTACATAAACAGATCAACCTAGTGACAACCTATTTATCTAAAAGGTTTGGTTGGGTTGGAAATATCAACCCAAACAGGTTGGGTTGGGTTGAAAACTTCAACCCAATTAATAAATGGGTTGAACCCAAACCCAATACAGGTCGACCAATTGTCAGCTCTAATGCCTAGTTCCTTTAAATATGTTGAATTTTTAAAACTTATAAAAGTATATCTATTGTAAACTTACAAAAAGTCATCGTTAGCATCAATATATAATTCGCTACGTATTAAAAATGGGGATTAATAAATATCAGTAGCTTAAATAACACGACGAAAAAACATGTGTGTTTTCTTAAAACCTTTAAAGGTTCAAAACAAATGATTCAATTCTATATATTTAAATGATGTTATTAAAGATACGGCATAAATTATGTGATATATATATATATATATATATATATATATATATATATATATATATATATATATATATATATATATTTAGGTTCATTTGAAACCATGCTAATTTTGTGAGACCGTGAGACCAAATCTAAAAATAATTTTAAAATGCAAAATAAAAGGAAAAATCCGAAAATTCTTTTTTTAATTATTATTTTCGTCACTTTAATTACCTAAAAAAATAAAAATAAATAAAAAAAAGTTACCGTTTTTTTTTAAAAATACGTGAAATATTCTAATAGAATATTACACTGTAAATATTCTAATGTGATTTTTAGAATGTTAGAATATTCTACTAGATTTGTCAGATATGTAAAAATATTATAATATTCTACTAGAATATGTAAAAAAAATGTATTTATTTTTATTTTTATTTTTATTTTTTTGGTATTTTTTTTAATTTTTTTTGGAAAATATAAATGACGAAAATAATATCTGAAAAAAAAATTCGAAAATTTTCAATTATTTTGCATTTTAAAAATGTTTTTTTTTTCTATCTACAAAATGAGTAGCTAGGATTACGTCTCACGGTTTCACAAAATTAGATCGTCTCACGTGAACTTAACCCATATATATATATATATATATATATATATATATATATATATATATATATACACACCGGTTCCGACATATACCCAGCAGGTAACGGTTCCATAAAAATAAGAAAATTCTCAAGTTGGGTTAGGATTAAAATTCTCAACCAGTTTATTCAAACAGGTTGTGGATTGGATTGAGATTTTCAACCTGTTTAGTATTGCCACCCCTATAGGCGATGGTGAAGAGGGATGGGGTAGTAGATGGACAAGAAAGTATGTTGTTAAAACTGTTACTAATTATATTAAGTGACAAAATAAGAAAGTATGTTTGCTAAAACTGCTACTTGCAGATATATTTGACCTAATGTATTTTCCCTTTTCGGATATATATATATATATATATATATATATATATATATATATATATATATATATATAACAGTTTTTGACATAAAAAAAAGTATGTTGCTATTTAGATTCCGTTTCAGAAAGTAAGATGCTAAAACAAGTGATTGAATTAACATAAAATGAGGCAATAGCTAACTTTTTTTTTTAATCTAAAACCCGATGCTATAAAATGATAAAATCCATGGTGATAAAGTGTAAATGTTGTTAGCAGCAATTAAAAAAATTTAAACGTTAACAAAACCCAGGGGGTGCTTCGGGGTCTTCATCACTACCATCATCGCCTTCATCTTTATCTTTACCTGTAGAAAATCCAAATCCAGGTGGTGAACTTGGATCCACAGCATCCTTCTCCAATACTTGTTTTGATTGATGGAGTGTTTCTTTTTCTTCTTGTTGTTGTTGGGGTAAGTTGATGTCAATTTGATTGTTTTGTATGCGGGTTCGTTTTGGGTCGGGATTTGGTGTTGAGAGTTTGTTGTAAACTGATTTTACGGTTTCTGTGATCTCGGTTTTGATGCCGCCATCGGGTGATCGGATTATTTCCCAAAGCCCGTTGGAAATTTGTTCGTTTACTCTGTCCCTATAATTTAAAATTAAAACTGGAATTTAATATTTGTAAATAAAAATCATTTGGAAAAATAAAAAGTGTGGGAAACGGGAAGAAAAGTACCCACCCGACTTCTTGATGGATGGTATCGGATAGTTGACGAGGCTTCATGTTCTCAGCTCCAGGGCGGTTAAGTGCCACCGACTGCTTCACCATTGACACAATGCTCTTTCGCAACTCTTCCTGCCACCACACACACACACACAATTCACAAACCAAAAACCTCCATGAACTGTCTGTTACTAATATTTCTATATACACCCACATAAGCTTAATTGAGAGGCACATCACATACATCATACATGCATTTGTGGGTTCAAAACTCCACTTATGAGCTTTCAAATCTTCAAATATACTCAAATCTGTTGATAAAATTCCTACTCACCTCAAGTTTGGTGATTAACCTCCATTTTTTTTTTATATATATTAAAACTAAGCAAGGAGGTTGGGTCTGTCTCCAGAGTCCAATATCCATACTTTGTTTTCTACATTAACAACCATGTCCTGAGAACTGAATTTATAAAGTCTACAACATCTTTCACCCTAATTGCCCTTTCTATGTTACATATTAGTGTGCCATGGTCACCTATTTATTAATTTAATTATACCAGTGTAGTGTGGGTTCGAAATTGCTGGCCAATTTTTCAACTCTGGATATGAAATCAGACTTGAGAAAAGAGAAACATAAATGACATGGATTTTGCCGGAAAGCAAAGCAGAATTGTGGAAGTCAAACATCACAAAAAAAAATTATTACAACTAACACTACTGAAGTTACCAAATGAAGCCCTAATGAACGAGTTGTATTTGCAAAGAGAGAGAAAGAAATTGAATCTAAATAGAGACTTACGTTTTCCTTAAGCTTGCGGATAATCTTGAGACGGAGGCGATCGAAATCTCCGTCATCCTTCAACTTGGAAATTACATCGTCGCAGCTGATCGTATGATTTACACCGCCGTTGCCGTTGCCGTTTTCCATTTATATTTAAAATGAAATGTAAATCGCTTACGCCCCCGCTCCCGAGTTTAAGTTAAAGAGAGAAAAGAAAGAAATGAGTGGAAGGGGTGGAAAGTAAGAGAAAGTAGTGCTACCGAGTTAATTAAAGAAAGGAAGTGAAAGGACTTTACTCCTGACTTTCTTTTGGATTTGGAAGGATTTGAAAAGAAAGAACAAAATATTTAATTTTTCTTCCATTTCTCTCCAACTCAGAGCACAAAAGACAAATTTTTTTTTTTTTTTTTTTCTCCTTACTTTCTTTTCTCTTCTCTTCTTTTCTTTGCTACAACTTAGGAGCGGGGTGTTAGTCAATGTTATCGATGTTTTTCCCTTTGGCCTTTGGGGATGTAAAAACGAAGAAGCCAAAAGCTACTCATCAATTAAACCTTACCAGTCTTACAGCGATGGCCTATGGACTATGTATGGTCTTAGTCCAACTCCGGAACTCCCAAGGTCATGTTTAAAATTGCTGAACAGGTTAAAATTGAAAGTTTTGGATATGGTTCTAGTAGATAAGATAATTTTAATTTCTTTCAAACTCATATTTAAAAAAAAAAAAAAACGGTGTAAGTATGTTTAATAGATCCGATATACCGGTTGAACCACAAAACTAAATGATACGAATTTACTACGACTTTACAAAACTCAGTTAGTCCAAAGCAGAGGATCGATATGAGACAAGGAGCATCAATACATACATGTTTTCTAACACTATTTTTTATGAGGAAAATGTAGCATCTTTTACGCAAACAAATCTTTTTGGGTGTGGGTGGGACAAAATTACAATCACGGATGATGCATTTTTTAGACCCACTCCGAGGTCACAAGTAGTTTACACAAAAGAAAAGTAGACATATAGCAACAGTGTTGACATATTTATTTACATGTTAATTCACAAATTCAGTTTACAGATGATATAGAAAGTAAAGATATAGCTAGCAACCAAGAGTACAACATCATATATATTATAACTAACTTCTTGGTATCTATCATCTATCTTTCATTTGGCACATACATACTAGCAAATGAAGGAAAACCACAACTAAATTCATTCCAGTCATTTACGACGATGATGATGATGGTGATGCCGACTTCTCTTCCTCGACCGCGAACGCGAATCACTACACCAAAAAAATGATAAAACACTCGGACCATTTCAAGTCTTGTAAATCCTAAATATTTTTATTAAAAAAAAAATGTATACTTACGACTCATCATCGTGCTCTTTGCTAATGGATGAGTCTCGACTTTTTCTACTACAAGGCTCCTTCACCTGTTCAAATCCATCATCAATAATCATTATTCTAAAAAATATTTAATCACAAATATATAAATATATACTCTGATAAGTTTAAGTTTACTGACTAACCGGTTGACGTGACATTCTTTTGGCACCTCTGGCATGGGCTTCCAGGTACTCTTCATATGTCTGCATCAGTAAAAAGACCCCAATTATGATTATGAATATCATCATATGATTTAAAATAACTGATTTATTAAACAGATTTGACTCTACCATTTCGAGGATATCATCATCAGTAATAGCATTATTATTATTATTATTATTATTATTATTATGATTATGATTATTAGCATGTCCATGTCCTCCTCCGTTCCTTTCTGCACACAAATCCCAATCATCACATACCAAGGATTTATCACCACCACCACCCATGTCCACATTTTTGTTCATAAAACTAGTTTCTTCTGTGTTATGATTATGAAATCCCCCTGCTGCTTGTCTTTGATGAAATCTACTTGCTTCTGATTCATGCTGATACAGCATTGAAGGGTACATCATAGGTGTTGATGCTATATGCATGGGGGTGGGGGCCACCGCCACCTCACATTCCTCCTCTTGTAAACCATAAAAACTCGGTGCCAATATATCCATGTTAAACGCGTAACTGCATAAATATTAAAAACAAATCATATAAATTACCAACCTAAAAAGAATAACTTAAGGTGGTGCATCAAAATAAAACCTAGTCTGATTTTCATCCAAACAATTTTCCCCATCAATCAGCTCACACAGAGCTTCTCCAATATCTTGAGGTAACTCCTGAAACAAATTCATTAACCAAATAATATATTATTATTATCAAAGTCACACACATTATAGAATTAGAATGTAAGAATGGTATGAAGAAATGTCTACCTGGCAATCTCTACTGATTTTAACAGGTTTGTATTGATTCAAAGGATTCTTTAAATGAAGTGTCTTCTGGAAAGGCAAGTCTTGCAACCGAAGCCATTTCACCTTAAAACTGCGACCCCATGGTTTGCTTCCACCATGTCCATGGCTCCAAACATTGTCCCTTCTCCACCCAACAGATGACATCATCTGGGCATACCCTTGAAAGAAACCACTCATATTCACACTAAATATTAAAATCACCTTACCAGAATTCTGCAAAAGATTAAGTGCAAGTGTCATCTTCTACAACTAGATGGTTTGCAAAAAGATACACACAAAAAAAACAAAGGACAATGAAAGTCTTACATGATAGGCTTCTTCCAAGATGGGTTCATTCATCATTTGGGTAGCCCAAATTCCTCTCTGGATTGATAGTTGGATATTATCATGGTTTAAACTCTTTATGATGAAATATCTTGATTTACTCCTTTTATTTGCATTTGAGGTTCCTACTTGTTCACAAGAATGGTCTTGATCTTCTGCCCCAGAACGATACGCATCCTTTTCTACTTTGTCATTTGGGCTTTCTATAACAACATTCTAACACATTCATTTTAACTACTAAAAGAATGATTCATTCAACAACTGATACCATAAATGATGCTTGTTATTCATACATAATATGATATGTACTATTTGAACGTATCATCATAAGATATTGCTATACACTTCTTAGTAGTCTTATAGGGTGGGAATTAAGTAACAGGTATCCATGTTGGTATCTGTGATAAAGTGGTTATTGAAGGGTAATAAGGTCTTTTTTCCTAATTGAGTACAAATAGAAGGTCTGTGTTAGTTAGTAGGGATTATCTTTTGTAACTGATTGAAGTAAATGCTAGGATTATTTTGTAATCAATTGTTCCAAGCTCTAATCATTCAATTCAAGTCAATCTTTCAGTTCTAACTACTAGTTCAGGTAATCATAAAGCCTAAATAATAACTCAACAATGTTCAAGTTTTACTAATTCCACATATAGTAAGTGCAACTTGGGGTCCCACCACAAGTAAAGTTCAAAAATAAGATTCTTTGTAGAAGTCATTTAATGTTAATACCTAATGTAAAACCAAACTATGACTCTGATAATACACTATTTTTATGTACAAAATGACAGACATATTTAAACAGTTTTCCCAGGATTAGGGATCACTACCTTGATTGTTCTTAATCTCTACATCAGGCTTCCATTCAGTCACTGAAGAATCAACTACAGAATTATCAACAGACATGGTCACGTTCTTGCCTGTATCATAAAGAAAGAAGAACATGTGTTAACAAATATAAGATGAGTTAACATGGATGCCAACAACAGCAAGAAGCAGAAATCCAATAAATTAATTTGTTAGGAACAATAAGTGAACAGGTTAACATCACAGCATAATTTTACAAGCTGCTAAAATTGCTAGTGAAATGAACACTTTAGATTCTTTAACATCACCACGAAAGAGGATGCCCTGTATATTTAATGTTGTTTAACATCACATGCAAATCCAGCCATCACCTTTCTTAACCTATCCAAAACCATATACTATCAGAAACCCAACCTTGCAAAACGCCTTTTTCTTGAACAGCCATGTCTTATATCCAGTCCATTTTGGCCTTTCCCACTTGTATGCATACAGAACAATGTTTTTTTTTTTCTAGGCCAACCTTAGTCCACTTCCTAATTCCTATTCTACAAATGTGTTCATCCACAAAACAAATTCAACGGAAACAACTTGTAAGCCCTAAATTGATGCTAAGTGTAGTCCTTCGACACGCATATAGATACTAAAAAGGCCTATATAACCGAGAGGTAATCTTAGTTGACAGCATTGGAAGTAAAAGCACGACTCAAATTGCAGCGACAAACACCAAATTCATCAAAGTTCGCATGTAAACAACCTACTGATACAGCGAATGTAAATTAAGAAAAAAAAATCCACGACATTAACAAGAAACCAGTACCTTTTACAAAGAACGATAATCCTCAGGGGAGAGTAGTTTCGATAGTGCGTGTAGATAAGCTGTGCCCTAATTTCCCCGGAAAAGCCCCCTTTGGGCCAACTTCTGGTTTTCGGCTTTCCGGTGCCGTGGTCCAAAAGCTTTTCAACAATTCAACTAAAATTTAAAGAATGATAAATTTAAAAAAAAAAAATGAATATCAACATTTTTTACCAAAACATTTACTTGAATAATTTTAAATTTCTTGTAAATGTAAAATATAAAATATGTAATATCTTTAAGCCTTAATACGACATATTATCACTGGGTGGAAGTAATGTCGTTATAAGTCGGTGTATAGGTATGGCAAGGAGTAATTAATAAACAAGTTTCAATTGTGGCAATTCCACTAGGATGCTATCCCCATTCATCTATTCACCTAAAACAATCGAGTATTATCACAACAATGTGAAAGTCTTCGGATATTTGTATAAAACAATGAATGGTTGCCAAGTATTCCAACCAACGTTACAACACTAACCATTAATTTTTTTTAGGTAGGGAGCAAACTAATAAAATCGTAGTTGTTCTTTTGTTTAAATTGAACTGAACAAATGAATAAACATGACACATAATCAAGCGAATTTACTTGTTTGTATTCGGTTGTTTTAAAAAATATTTTGTTCATATATGTTTGTGTGCGTACTAATGAGCATAAATGAATATACACAAATGAACATTAACACATACAAATGAACATAAACATCCAATAATAAAAAAAGTTCGTAAGGGTGAATGTATTTCAAACTTACAGCTCTGGTAATAATTTTAAATTTCAGGCTTTTAGCATTTTATTATGTTGGCTTATACATATAATTGGTCATCATAAATTAACCTAAACAAACATAAATGAGGGAATGTAAATTAATATAAACGAACATAAACACACAAATTTGTGCAATGAACATAAATGAATGTAAATGATCGCAAACAAACGGACATAAAACAAGTCATCATTTATATATATATATATATATATATATATATATATATATATATATATATATATATATATATATATATATACTAGACGAATTCTCGCGTATTGCGCAACGTAGGTTAAAGATATATTGTTAAAATGTTGAAAAATATATATTTAAAATGGTTATGTTATTGACATTAACTTTGACATAATATTTTGAATAATATTATTCATTAACATCAAACCACATTCCTCGGTAATAAAATTAAATATAATTATCTATTTAATATTATTTTTAACAATTGTTATGATTGATTAATTTAAATTTTTTGTAACGTCCAAAAATTTCACGCCAAATTCAAACTTTTTTTTTTAATCACAAATAAAAGTCAAATAGTATTGTTTACAAAATGCTTTCAAATCAATATCCATCAGAGTGTCCCAAAATCATAACATAAGGATGAGGAGCGGTACGGTCACGCATTCGCCTTGCCACGATCTCTCGAAGTACCTAAAACAATAAACTGAAAACTGTAAGTCCGAGGGCTTAGTGAGCTACCCCCAAAATACCAATACCACACTGACAATACCATATCAGTAACAATCAATCATGCATACTGGGCCATCGGCCTGACTGGTCCGCCCTACCGGGCCTACAGCCTATCTGAATCTATTCATGCATACTGGGCATTCGGCCTGACTGGACCGCCCTACCGGGCCTACAGTCTATCAGAATCTATCCCGAGCCTTCGGCATGACTGGTCCGCCTCGTGGGCCTGCAGTCTCCCCGGACCGCTCATAGGGTATGTTGGCCTTCAGCACAAAGCAGGACCGCCTCAACCCAACCAATAAGCAAATAACCAAGTTCGCATAACTATCATATACTGGCATATACAAACATCAAACATATCTGTCATACTGATCATCAACCATAGAATCCTCTCGTAAGTAGAGTACCGACCTAGCAGGTCACTAACATACCAATCCTTACGGATCATAAAGCATAACATACTGTCTACCCTGATTCCGATCTAGCATACCAAACCATATGTAGTATACCATAACAATAACAACTAAAAGGGTCGGCCTTGGTGCCGTAGACCCTATCGATATAGTGAGGATAACTCACCTCGCAGATGCCGACTCGAAAGGTAAACTCCAATTCTCGGATCACTTGACACAGGCTCCACCACCTATGACCATAGTACAATATACTCATAAGTCCTTAAATCTATAAGGTACTCCATAACCCACCAGTCAACCCCTGGTCAAGGTCAAAGTCCTCAGTCAAGGTCAACAGTCCATGTTGACCCCCAACTCGCCGAGTACCCTTGGCTACTCGCCGAGTTCCTCGAAGCACATTCCACTCGCCGAGTCATCGGGGTGACTCGTCGAGTTCCTTCGATTGTCGTTCAAACTCTAAGGCCACCCGTCGAGTTTCCTCCTTGCCACTCGACGGGCACACACGCATACATATCCTAGGGAAAACTCATCCGACTCGCCGAGTTGTTCTTCAACTTGTCGAGTCTTATGGTGATCTTCATCGGACTCGTCGAGTTGTTCATCCAACTCGTCGAGTTCACGGCCATCTTCATGTGACTCGCCGAGTCACCCTTGCGACTCGTCGAGTCCATTCAGTCCTTTTTCCATACAGACTTGTTTTGAGCCATGCAGCAGCTCCAAATCACAGATCCAAGCTTCTAGGGCATGCTTTTCACGTAAAGTTGCAAACTTTACGTGCATGCATGACTAATAAGGCTCTTAATGCCAAAACTAAGTTCTTAATGGGGCTTTATGCACAAGGATGGCCTCATTCTCGACCAAAATCAGAGCTTTATGACTCTAGAACCCAAGAAGGTTACAGATCTGAAGTTACAACTTAAGATCTAGCTCATATCCCACATTACCATCTCAACCAAACCATAAAAACCCTAGATCTCAACCAAAATAGGTCTAGAAAGAAAAAGGAGAAAAGATGACGACTTGATACCTCCAAATGATGCTATTTGAGGTAGATTTCTGATCTCCCACACTTCCTTGCTCCTAGCCCTTTTGTTTTCCCCAAGCTCCTTTCCTCACAAGATCTCCTCTCCAAAGCTTTACACACACAAGAATGAAACACCACACAAATTAGGGTTCTCTGAGCTCTCAAAGGACTGCAAAGAGGCCGAAGGAGGCTTATGCTTCCTTAAATAGGGTGCAAACCCCCGGGATTTAGGGTTTCATCTGCCAGCTCCTACTTGCCGAGTTCCAATATGGACTCGTCGAGTAGGTCACTTAACACGCGATCCCACCCCGCTGCTACTCGACGAGTAGGTCAACCAACTCGTCGAGTAGAGCTTCACCCAATAAATCTTATTTAAACAATACCTGAGAATCGGGGCGTTACAACTCTCCCCCACTTGAACTAGACTTCGCCCTCGAAGTCTGTCGGAATAAACAATGACGGGTAATGCTCGCGCATCTCCGCTTCCGGCTCCCATGTCCATTCGGATCCCCTCTGATGTTCCCACTGTACCTTTACCAAAGGTATTTCCTTGTTCCGCAGAATCTTCTTCTTCCTTTCCAAAATAGCCACCGGCCTCTCCACATAGTTCAGGCGTTCGTCGACCTGAATGTCATCCAACGATACCACTGCCTCCTGGTCCATAATGCACTTTCGCAATTGCGAAACATGAAATGTGCTGTGGATCCGGCTAAGCTCCTCCGGAAGCTCTAGCCTATAAGTCACCCTGCCAACCCTGACAACAATCCTGAACGGCCCGATGTAGCGGGGACCCAATTTTCCCCTCTTCCTGAAGCGGATCACTCCCTTCCAGGGTGAAACCTTCAGGAGAACCATGTCACCCACCTGAAACTCCAGCTCAGATCGACGTCGGTCGGCATAACTTTTCTGCCGACTCTGAGCGGTCTGCAGTCGCTGTCTAATCTGTTGTATCATCTCGGTAGTTTGCAGAACTACCTATGTCCGACCCATCACTCTGTGCCCAACCTCGCCCCAGCAGACTGGGGTCCTACACTTCCGCCCATACAACAGCTCGAAAGGCGGGGCACCAATACTGGAATGATAGCTGTTGTTGTAGGCGAACTCTACAAGCGGTAGGTGGGAATCCCAACTCCCACCGAAATCAATGACGCACGCCCTCAACATATCCTCGAGGGTCTGTATGGTCCGCTCACTCTGCCCATCAGTCTGCGGATGGAACGTTGTACTAAAATGCAACCTCGTACCTAGTTCCTCGTGGAACTTCTGCCAAAAACGGGAAGTAAATCGGACATCCCGGTCGGAAACTATGGAAACTGGAACCCCATGGCGAGAGACAATCTCGCGGACGTACAGGTCGGCCAACTTCTCCGCCGACGAACTCTCCCGTATAGCTAGGAAATGGGCACTCTTGGTCAATCGATCCACGATGACCCATATAACATCGAAACCCTTTGCCGTCTTTGGCAACTTCGTGATGAAATCCATCGTGATCCGTTCCCATTTCCACATGGGAATCTCCAGGGGCTGCAGCTTACCATGCGGCCTCTGGTGCTCGGCCTTGACCATCCTACAGGTCAAGCACCTCTCAACAAACCAAGCGATATCTCGCTTCATGCCCGGCCACCAATAACTCGAACTCAGATCACGGTACATCTTGGTGGCTCCCGGATGAATAGAGAAGCGAGACTTATGAGCCTCCTCCATCACTGTCTGCCGGACCCCTCCGGTCATCGGAACCCATACCCGACCGTAACGAGTCAACAATCCGCGGCTATCCTGAACAAACCGGGCGCTTTCGCCCTTAATCTTCTCCAACTTCCAGTTCTCTGGTCTCATACCCTCAATCTGAGCATCCCTGACCAGACCCACCAGCGGGGTATCCACCGCTATCCTCATACACCTGGCTGGGGTTGAGGACCCAGCTGACTTGCGGCTTAGAGCATCCGCAACCACGTTCGCTTTACCAGGATGGTAAAGGATCTCACAATCATAGTCCTTAACTACATCCAGCCACCTGCGCTACCTCATATTTAGGTTTGGCTGATCCATAATGTGCCTCAAACTCTTGTGATCCGTGTATATGGTACAACGGACCCCGTACAGATAGTGCCTCCAAATCTTGAGAGCGAAGACCACCGCTCCCAACTCAAGATCGTGCGTGGGGTATCTCGTCTCATGCGGCTTTAACTGCCGCGATGCATAAGCTATCACTCGTCCCCTCTGCATGAGGACTGCCCCTAAGCCTATGATGGACGCATCAAAAAATACCACGAAATCCTCCACTCCCTCGGGGAGTGTCAACACTGGCGCCTCGCATAACCGCTGATGGAGGGTCTCAAACGCCCTCTGCTGCTCAGGGCCCCACCGGAAATCCACTCCCTTCCTCGTTAGACGAGTGAGGGGTACAACAACCTTGGAGAAATCACGAATGAATCTCCGATAATACCCTGCTAAACCCAAGAAACTCCTGATGTCTGAGGGAGATCTCGTAGTCTCCCACTGCATAACCGCCTCCACCTTGGCCGGATCGACCAAAATCCCATCCTGGTTAACGAGATGTCCGAGGAACTGAACCTCTCGTAACCAAAACTCACACTTCGAGAACTTGGCATACAGCCGTTCTCGGCGCAGTACCTCCAGCAGCTCCCTGAGATGCTCCTCATGCTCCTCTCGGGTCTTGGAATATACCAAGATGTCATCTATGAACACAATGACCGAGCGATCGAGCATCGGTCTGCAGACTCGGT